AACATCCTGGTAAATCTCCTCTGCACCCTTTCCAATGCTTCCACATCCTTCCTATAATGCGGTGACCAGAACTGTACGCAATACTCCAAGTGCGGCCGCACCAGAGTTTTGTACAGCTGCAACATGACCTCATGGCTCCGAAACTCAATCCCTCTACCAATAAAACCTAACACACCGTACGCCTTCTTAACAATGCTATCAACCTGGGTGGCAACTTTCAGTGATCTATGCACATGGACACCGAGATCTCTCTGCTCATCCACACTACCAAGAATCTTACCATTAGCCCAGTACTCTGTATTCCTGTTACTCCTTCCAAAGTGAATCACCTCACACTTTTACGCATTAAACTCCATTTGCCACCTCTCAGCCCACCTCTGCAGCTTATCTATGTCCCTCTGTAACCTGCAACATCCTTCCGCACTATCCACAACTCCACCAACTTTGGTGTCATCTGCAAATTTACTAACCCATCCTTCTATGCCCTCATCCAAGTCATTTATAAAAATGACAAACAGCAGTGGCCCCAAAACAGATCCTTGCGGTGCACCACGAGTAACTGAACTCCAGGATGAACATTTCCCATCAACCACCACCCTCTGTCTTCTTACAGCTAGCCAATTTCTGATCCAAACCGCTAAATCACCCTCAATCCCATGCCTCCGTATTTTCTGCAATAGCCTACCATGGGAAACCTTATCAAACGCTTTACTGAAATCCATATACACCACATCAACCGGTTTACCCTCATCCACCTGTTTGGTCACCTTCTCAAAGAACTCAATAAGGTTTGTGAGGCATGACCTACCCTTCACAAAACCGTGTTGACTATCCCTAATCAAATTATTCCTTTCTAGATGATTATAAATCCTATCTCTTATACTCCTTTCCAACACTTTACCCACAACCGAAGTAAGACTCACTGATCTGTAATTACCAGGGTTGTCTCTACTCCCCTTCTTGAACAAGAGGACAACATTTGCTAGTCTCCAGTCTTCTGGCACTATTCCTGAAGACAATGACGACATAAAGATCAAAGCCAAAGGCTCTGCAATCTCCTCTCTAGCTTCCCAGAGAATCCTAGGATAAATCCCATCCGGCCCAGGGGACTTATCTATTTTCACACCTATTAACTGAGGTGTAATTTCTAAGACCCATCTATGTATGACTTATACTAGGGATAAGACTTCTGAACATGAGTCATCTTAGACTCAAAGTGTTAACTGTTTCTCTCTTCACAAACATTGCAAGACCTGCTGAGCTTTTGTATTTTCATTTCAGATCTCTTACATCTGCAGTACTCAGATTATATAGAAATAAGAATTAACAGGAAGTATAATCACACGTAAAGACTAATGGAACATGTAGACTTGTGGAATGGATGGGTAGAAAAGGGATTCAGTCACAGTGTGGTTCTGAGAGATTCAGACCTGAGAGAGTCTACCAGCTTGTGCTTGAATTTAGAGTTTAAAATGTTTAACTTTTTACCATATTTTCAGGAGATGACGTGGGGCGTCATCCAATAAACTGTTTCTAGGACTGGCTTGAAGAGAACCGAAATGTGCAGGGCATAAGTGTTACACAAGATCCAGTAAATATAGTGAAGTATTTGCACAATTAGACAGATATAAGTTCTAGTTTATAGGAAACGCGGGTTTTGTTAACAGGAAATGCAGCACATAGCTGCAGGAAGAAACGGCTCACTGAGTAACTGACAAGGTGCGTATATTTCATTCACATCGATAGTTGAGTTAGTTGCGCGATAATGAGAGAAATAACACTTGTTGGATTTTGCTGATTCGTAAACCCTCTAAAGATGGAGGACGGGACCTTATTCAGGGATTTCCACCCTATTCTGTTTTCGGCAATTATGCCTGAGGCGGGATTAGAATGCGGGCAGCCGGTCTGCATGCAGTACTCCGGCCCTTGAGGCCCCGTTTCGGGCAATTTATATTATATAAGCAAATGCCCATTCCTAGTTGGCGCCTAATTTTTTTTTGGAAAGATTTAATATCAGTAGGAGCTGTGAAGTCGTTCGCATGACTGCTTTGGTTCTTGTTTTAAAAGCAGGCCTAATTCTGGATTTTGTTAAAAGACTAATAAAGCTCAGGGAGCTGTCCGATAAATGGTGCTGAATGTTTTGCCGATTGACGGGTGGCAGACGTTGTAAACGACTCTCGCCCGATGAGATGATGGGATTTTACAAATTGAAGTGAAAGACATTGTGCACGGCATCCAATCTGAGCTGTAATTCCATATTATTTTCCAGAGTTGGTGTTTACTTCAACTGCAATAACACTAACCAGTGAACAAAACTTCAGCTCTGATGAAGAGTCATATAGACTCAACATTAGCTTGCTCTTTCTCCATGGATGCTGCCTGACCCACTGAGTTCCAGCATTTGTTGTTTTTGGTACAGATTCCAGCATATGCAGTAATTTGCTGCAGCTAAACTTTTTATTGCTTTATTTTTGTCCCCATAATCTTTTCATTAGCATTTTTGTGAACAGTTTTAAAGAAATAATAATATACTAATCTATGACAAAATTGAAGCAGTTAAATTCTAACACCCAATGGCTAATGGCTACAAATACAGAGTACACTAAAGTCTGATCAAACTAAAATAATAACAGTGCAGCATCTTAATCATTAATGAAGGCTATTTAAACTTTTTTTAAGGAGAATTGAAAATTATCAGGAAATTGACATGTTAATCATTTCAGTTATTGTATACATTATTGTGCAACATTTTGGTCCATCCTTAAATGAAAAGCAAAAAAAAATACATTATGATCTGGTTTGAGGACTATAGGTCATAAATACCTTATTCGGTGCATTTTTTAAAAATTAACAAACACGTTAGGCTTTTTTAACTTCAAAAGTTGAAAAGGAAACCTTACATTTTCAGAGCACCATAAATAACTGTATTATGGCAGCAACTAAGATACCTTAAATTCAGTGACTGGTCTTGAATAGTTTAAAAACTGCTCTGTATCAGTCAAGTTCCACAGTTCATTCAAATAAACACCCAGTTCTTCTGTTGTTTGGTATTGGTTCAGTGAGGAATGTTGGGTAGGGCCCAAAGGGAAATATGGTGTGAAGAGTAGCATCATGCTGAAGGGGCCTTTGGCGACTGTCAACCTATGTACGTATATAAGCTGCTTTGAGCATTTCAGTATGTTTGACAGAACAACAAATATTCATTAATTGTGCAGTTTATCTTGGTACAAATTAAGCTTTTATATGAAGTCCAACAGGAAAACTGTCTTGATAATACAAATCTTAATTTGAAATGTGTGTTGTTGTCTAATACTTTCCAGTTTTACAGCGATGTTTGTTGCAAATCCGTTTAATTTATTGACAAATTCTAATCTGTTTTATTTATTTATGAATCCAAAGATGTCAGCATCTCATATTTACTGTTTAAAAATCTTCGAATCTGTCATCTGGGTATAGAGGTTTTTTTCTTGTTTATCTTAATTTCTGTTACTAATAAACTTATTTTTATTACTAAAACAAAGATTATAGCATTTTGTCCTTCTTTTGTAGAATATCACTTCAGTAGCTAACATTAAAAAACTTTAAAAATCCAGAAGAACTGAGGATGCTGTAAATCAGACAAAAATACAAACTGCTGGAAAAGCTCAGCAGGTCGGGCAGCATAAAAATAAATCTATCCAGCCAGTTTCCTGTCTGGGATCTGACTTGTTCACTACTAACATTAATATAGCATTAGCCCATTACAACTGGGGCCACTAGATCATGATACACATAAAGAGCCAATTTGCCTAAGACATCCAAGATGGCACATAACCATTTAAATTTGTAAAATTGCAAGAAAATCAGTTGATGTAATGTTTGTAGATAATAGATAGTCAGTAAAAATATATTTTAAAGGGACATTTTAAATAATTTAGCTCCTGCCTCAAAATTAAAAATGTTGGCTTTTATTCTAGTTCTTTGAATAACCCTTACAATTACTGCTGTTTATTAATACAGCAATGTTATCGATTTTTCTGCAAAATAACTACTTCTATAAGCAAAAAATTAATAATGATTTCAATTTAATTGATTCCTTGACAGATGAATTTCTGAGAGTTTCAAAAGTTATAAACTTGAATAATTCATGAAATTTGCATAGATTTGTATTTCCATCTAGTTTGTTTGTTTATGTAAGTCATTTTGAAATAGTTTATAGGTCACATCAGAAAAAATAGCGGTAGACAATATCAATGAAAGGATATAATATTACACATAATGCAAGAGCACAGACACATTTGGGGTTGATTTGCAGGTGACTGGAAGCTCTCAGCATAAATAATGAGACTATTAGGGGATATGGAATCATGGCCTTTACAAATACAGGTTTAATAGTACCAAAACAAGGAGGTTTGTTTTTAACCAAATTGTCAAAAGACATCATTACACACCTCTAGAACGGTTGTGACTTGCACCCATGCTTCCTAACTTGGAGGTTATGCTATACTGGTTAATGTTTGTTTAGTGAAAAACACAGACTAATACTTACTTTCTAATGTAATATTTTGTTTCAAAGCTGCCAAATATTGATATACTTGTTCTTCTTCCAAAGCACAGCGAAAATGTTATATTATAGTTGCTCACTTTGAATTACTGGATAATTTAACTTTTTTGTTAAAACAAAATCTTTAATAAAGAGCATGTATCAGTGTTTGGCAGTAATGTTGCCCATCATGCCCAATCCTCCTCCTTTTCATAATTCAACAAGGAGATCATGAGCAAAGTAAATTCTTCAAGACTTATCTGAAAGATTATAAACAAACAATAGTGGAAAACTAAATCTTCAGGTGTCTGTATTAATAACTATTAGAGTTTATTGTTATTAAATATATGGATTTGTTCTTGATACTGGGCATTTTATTTTCATATTTAAAATGTCAATCTTAAATACATTTTGTATATTGGTTTTATTTTCCTAAATAAGTGCTGCGTAATATTAACTTTATCTTTTTCTTCCATAGGCAGCTCTGGTTGGAGGAACAACAACGATAATTGGCTATGCATTACCAGATAAAGAGAATTCCCTTCTGGAAGCTTTTAAAAAGTGCAGAGATCTAGCAGATCCTAAGGTCTGCTGTGACTACTGCCTTCATGTTGGTGTAACTTGGTGGGGGCCGCAGGTAGGGATGTATTTCAGTCTGTACAATTATCAGATACATTTTTGTACCTGTTGTTTGTTAGGCTTTTTCAATTTGGGAAACAAAACTGCTGCTGAAGGTGCATAACAGAGCTCGGGATCGGAATAAAAAGGCAGACTTCTTTCAAGAAAGAAATAAGAATAAGTGACAATAAAATTAATAAGGAATATTAACCAGTTCTGGGGTACAGCTGCTATAGGAAGGATAAAAGGGGAGGCAAAAAAGGAGGGGAAGTGGTGTTTTTGATTAGGGAAGACTTCACAGCTGTACTTAGCAAGGATATTCCTGGGGGAAACATCCAATGAAGCTGTATGGGTGGCACAGGAAATAAGAAGGGGGTACTATAGGCACCCCAATAGTCAGTGGGAAATTGAGGAGGAAATATGTAGGGAGGTGGCTGATAGCTGTACTGATAATAGGATTGTAATAGTAGAGGATTTTAACTTCCCAAAAATATATTGGGACTGCCATAGTGTTAAATGCTTGGATGGGGAGGAATTTGTTAAGTGCGTTCAAGAAAATACTCTCAATCAATTTGTAGATATCCCTACAAGAGAAGGGGCAACACTCGACTTCCTCTTGGAAAATAAGGCAGGGCAAATGACTGAGGTGTTCTGGGAGAGTACTTTGGGACCAGTGACCATAATTCTGTTAGTTTTTAAATAGGTAGAAAAAGGATAGGCCTGGTCAACAACTTAAAGGAATGAAAAGCTTAACATATGAGGAACGATTGAGGACCCTGGTTCTATACTGAATGGAATTTAGAAGGATGAGGGGAGATCTAATTGAAACTTGCAGAATATTTAATGGCCTGGACAGAGTGGACATTGAGAAGTGGTTTCCATTAACAGGCCAGACTAGGACCGAAGGGGACAGCCTCAGAGTAAAGGAAAGACCCTTTAGAACGGAGATGAGGAGAACTGTCTTCAGCCACAGTGGTGAATCTGTGGAATTTATTGCCACAGAAGGCTGTGGAGGTCAGGTCATTGAGTATATTTAAGACAGAGATAGATTCTTGATTGTTAAGGAGATCAAAGGTTACAGGGAGAAAGCTGGAGAATGGGGTTGAGAAACTTATCAGCCATGATTGAATGACAGAGGAGACTGAATGGGCTGAGTGGCCTAATTTCTGCTCCTATATCTTATGGTCTTAAAGTTATAAATTGGGGCAAGGCCAATTTTGACGGTATTAGTTGATTGGGAGAGGCTATTCACAGGTAAAGGGACATCTGGCAAGTGGGAGGCTTTCAACAGCGAGATAATGAGAAATCAGGTACAGCATGTTCCTGTTAGTATGAAGGGCAAGGCTTGCAGGATTAGGGAACACTGGATGACTAAAGATATTGAGGCTCTGGTCAAGACAAAGAAGGAGGCGTATATTAGGTTTAGACAGGTGGAATCATATGAATCCCTTGAGGAGTATAGAGGGTGTAGGAGTACACTTAAGAGGGAAGTCAGAAGGGCAAACTGGGGATGTGAGATAGTTGTGACAGATAAGGTTAAGCAGAATCCAAAGAGATTCTACGGGTATATTAAGGGTAAAAGAGTAACTAAGGAGAGAATAGGGCAGCTTAAAGATCAACAAGGCCGTCAATGTGTGGAGCCACAGGAGATGGATTAGATCCTAAGCAAATATTTTGCATCAGTATTTACTGTCAAGAAGCCAGGGAATTTGGGGAAACTCTTGAAAAGTGTCTACATTGCAGAAGAGGAGGTGCTGAAGATCTTAAAACACATAAAGGTGGATGAATCCCTGGGACCTGATCAAGTGTATTCCAGGACCTTTTAGGAAGCTAGGGAAGAAATTCGAGGGCCCATAGCAGCGAAATTTGTTTCATCGACAGCCACAGGTGAGGTGCCAGAAGACTGGAGGGTGGCTAATGTCGTACATTTTTTTAAGAAAGCTTGCAAGAAAAAGCCAGGAAACTACAGATAGGTGTGCCTGACGTCAGTGGTGGGTAAGTTGTTGGAGGGGATTCTCAGACACAGATCTAGATGCATTTCGTAAAGCAAGGATTGATTAAGGATAGTCAGCATAGTTTTGTGCATGGGAAATCGTGTCTCAAAACTTGATTGAGTTTTCTGAAGAGGTAACTAAGAAGATAGATGAAGGCACAGTGGTAGACATTGTCTGCATGGACTTTAGCAAAGCCTTCGACAAGGTTCCGCATGGTAGACTGGTTAGTAAGGTTACATCACATGGGATCCAGGGAGAGTTAGCCAATTGGCTTGATGACGGTAGGAGACAGGGGATGCTGGCAGAGAGTTTTGTTCAGATTGGAGGCCTGGTGACCAGTGGTGTGCCACAAGGATCATCGCTGGGTCTACTGTTGTTTGTCATTTATATAAACGATTTGGATGAGAATATAGGAGGCATGGTTAGTAAGTTTGTGGATGGACACCAAAGTTTGTGGTATAGTGGACATTGAAGAAGGTTATCTAAGAGTACACCGGGATCTTGATCAACTGGGCCAGTGAGCTGAGGAATAGCAGATGAAGTTTAATTTGGATAAATGCGCGATGTTGCATTTTGGTAATACAAACCAGGGTAGGACTTGCATAGTTGCATGGTAGGGCCCTGGAGAGTGTTGTCAAACAGAGACATCTAGAGGTGCAGGTACATAGCTTCTTGAAGGTCGCATTACAGGGATCTAGGGTGGTGAATTTGATGTTTGGCGTGCTTGCCTTCATTGGTCAGAACATTGAGTACAGGAGTTGGACGTTATGTTACAGCTGTACAAGATATTGATAAGGCCCCATTTGGAGTACTGCATACAATTCTGGTCGCCCTGCTATAGGAAGGATGTTATTAACCTGGAAAGTGTGTAAAAAAGGTTTACAAGGATGTTATCGAGACTGGTGGGTTTGAGTTATAAGGAGAGACTGGGACTATTTTCTGTGAAGCATGGGAGGCTGAGGGGTGACCTTACAGAGATTTATAAAATAATGAGCGGCAAAGATAAGGTGAATAGCCAAAGTCTTTTCCCCTAAGTAGGGCTGTCCAAAACTAGAGGCCATATATTTAAGGTGAGAGGAAAAAGATCTAAAAGGGACCTGAAGGGCAACTTGTTCACACAGGGAGTGGTGCATGTTTGGAATGAATGGCCAGAGAAAGTGGGCCATTCAGCCCATTGAGACTGCCTTGCTGTTCAGTGAGATCATGCCTGATTTGATAATCCTCAAATCATTTTTCTGCCTTTTCTCTATAACCCTTGATTCCCTTACTGATTAAAAATCTGCTTATCTCAGTCTTGAATATAATTGATGATCCAGCCTCTGCAGCCCTCTGGGATAAAAAATGTCAACATAATCTGTACCCTCTGAGATGAAATTCCTTCTCATCTCAGTCTTAAATGTGTGGCCATTTACTCTGAAATCATGGCTTCTGGCCGTGCTAGGAAAGTTGTTCAGTTGTGTGTGATTAAAAAATATAGATCAGACACTTGCAGGTCTGTGGTGCAGTGTTAGTGTCCCTACCTTTGAGCCACAAGGCCTGAATTCAAGTCCCAACTGCTGCAGAAGTGCATAATAACATCCCTGAATAAGCTGATTAGGAAATAATAAAGTGGACCCAGACCAAAACAAAAATCCCATCAAAAACATGTAAAGCAGACCCCCACGCCCCAGTATCATTAGAGAAGGAGCACGCGGTGTCCATCAATACTTTTGATGCCTTTAGAGAGAGGTGGGCATCATGGAGGATACAGTGCTTATTTCCCCCTCTTAACTCCATTTTGATTTAGTCACTTCCTGCCCTCCCTTGCTTTGATCAATCATTTTCCCCAGAATGGGCGTTGCATGTAAATTTATAATTGACTACTCAAATGATTCATGGTTAATTGTTTAAAAACAAAAAAAAAGTTGGTGATTTGGTGGTGGGAAAACCATTTGGTTACGTGTGATTAGACTGCAGGCTATAGGGAAAAAAATAAAGTAGATCCCCAGTCCCAATCTGGTGCAGTGGTAGCGTTACTATCACTGGGCCAGGAGACATGGGTTCAAGTCCTACCTGTTCCAGAGTGTGTAATAATGCCTCTGGGCAGATTGATTAGAAATATCTATAAGCAGACCCAGATGAGGGCTCTTGTGGCACAGTGGTAGTGTCCCTACCTGTGGACCAGAAGACCTGGGTTCAAGTCCCTCCAGTGCCCTAGGTGTGTAATAACATTGGTTGGTTAGGGATGGAAGAAAAGCAGACCCAGGAATGGTTCTGCAGAACTGTCTGTCCTCCAGCTAGGACTAGCCTATGTAAACCACAATTAGTGGCTCTATTTTGGTGTTCAATAATAAATGATGTTCCTTTCCAGTTGGATGTCCTGAATTATTACAATCATATTGCGTGTTTCTAAATACATCCTTTATAATGGACTCTAACTTTTCCTAATAACATATGTTAAGCTAACTGGCCTATGATTACCTGTTCCTGCCTGCCTTTCTTTTTTTAAATAAGTGTTACATGGGCAATTTTCCAATTCTCTGGGCTTTTCTGGAACCAAAGGATTCTTGGAAGATTACAACCAGTGCATTCACTATCTGTAGTTCCTACTTTTAATATCCGAGATCCAGACCATCAGGTCCAAGGGACTTCTTAGTTGTAGCCCATTAGTTCCTTTAACATTTTTACTCTAGAGATTGTTACTGTATTTATTTCCTCTCCTCCTTTTGACCCTTGATTAATAGCATTCCAAAATTATTAGTGTATTCTACAGTGAAGAGTGACACATAGTAATGATTCAACCTGTAGGCCATTTCCTGGTTCCCCATTATTATTTCCCTCCCCTTGCTCTCTAAGGGGCCTGTGTTAACTTTGATGTCTCTCTTCCTTTTTATATATTTAAAGAAGCGTTTGCTTTCCATCTTGATATTACTTGCGCCTATCTCAGTTTATTTTCTCCCTTTTTTTTGGTTTTTTTTTTGGTTCTTAAGACTTTCCCAATCCTTAGCTTATGACTAATACTTGCTACATTGTGTTTCTTCTTTCAATTTGATGCAATCCTTAACATCCTTGGTTAACCATGGTTGGCTTATCCCCAGCCTAAAATAATTCTTTAGGATATATCTGTACTGAGAGCCTTGGACTATTTTCTTTAAAAGTATCAGTCATTTTCCCCATTTATTTTTGCAGCTGATCTCCTTTCCCAGTCTATTCCAGATAGCTCTGCCCTCATTCTTTTGTAATTATCTGTCTCAAGTCGGTTTATGAATTGTTCTGTGTGGCTACCTCTGCCAAACTGACTATCCTAACCTACATGAAGATTGAAATCACCCATGATTGAAATATTGTCTTTTTTATGTGTCCTTATTATCTTCTAATAATGTTCAAGTCATTTCAAGGTTGAGAGAAATAGGTATGATATACAAGAAGATCATTTATTTATAAAAATAGATTTTATTTATGAATAGTGTGATCAAAATTGAAATATTGTCTACTTTGATTTATTTTAAAATCTTATTTTGATCCTACTGTTAATATGATGCCTCTAACTTCTAACGCAGTTACAGTTTCAGCTCTTTTGTTTTGAGAACTAAACCGTTTGGTATAGAGTTGTAGGGGAAATTGGGTGGAAAACAGAAAATTCTGGAAATGCCTGCAGGTTAGACAGCATCTGTGGAAAAAGAGACAAAGTTAACCTTTTAGAATGATGACCTGTCACTGCACCAAGAATTCCTTGCGGGGTGCTGCAGGGGAACAGTCCTTTAGAATGCTGAAAGCACAGGGGAAGATGTTTGGTGGTGGTCTCATTCTGGAGATAATGAAAATGTTGAAGGATTGAATATGGAAGCTGGTGTGGGAATTGACAAGAAGAATCTGGAAAGAAGGGAAGACAGCAGATATATGGGAATTAGGTCAGACATGGTGAGGGCCATGCAAACAATGTTTGGAGGAGAATTCTCAGTTGAGAAAAAGGCACATTGGCCTACTGATATGGAAGATGGCTTCATCAGAACTAATTTGACTGAAGTGAAAAAAATCAGAATTGTTGTATGGTGCGAGGAACATCCTACTCCAAGCTCCTTTCCAAGATCTTCAAAAAAGAACTACATTAGTATTTCATCTTATTTTTGATGAACCCGTGTCAGTTTTTACTTTGCTCATTTGGACTTCGGTGGGAAATTGCCCATTCTTTTCATCTGACTTTCTCCATAACTGTAGCAGTTTATAGTTAATGCTAATTATTTAAACTATGCAGATTAATTTCCCCTACACTTCCGTTGCCCACTGGGATGGTCTGAGGTTGCTTCCTTGACTAAAAGCCAACTAGTCACCATGTACCATGACTATCCTCCACCTGACTAAACTTGTTCTTACACTGAAGAACTTTCCAAAAAGAAGGTGGTGCTGTCAAAACCCATTTTGTCTGCACTGTGTCTTTTTCTTAATGGGATATGTGGAACATCCTTCATTCCACCCCTGCTCTGATCAGTTGTTTTTCCTGCAGACTGATGACGGTAACTACTTCTTCAGCTTTTGTGTAATACTGAAAATTCCATCAGTCTTATTTCATATTTTCAACTTTCTCTCACTTTCTCATGGCCCATTTCTATCACTTTGTTTTACAATCTTACTTTTCTTTCTCTGTTTCTGGATGATGTGGTCAACCAAAATCTACTCCACCTGCATTGCCTCTATTACCTAGTCGACATTTCTGTCTCCACCTGTAAGGACTCAATCCCATTCTCCCAGTTTATCCACCTTGTTGCATCTGTTTTAACAATTGCACCTTACACACTAGTGCTTCCAATACATCTTCCTCAATTGAGGATTTCCCTTCACAGTGGTTGTCTGGATGGGCTTATCAACCTTTCAGCGCCCACATAATTTTACTATTGTATTAATCCAGTGTGATCCAGGAAAACCTAACTAAGCATCACTCCTTTACAATTTTCTTGTGAAGACTGCACCTTTTATAATTTCTTTATTTTTTGACTGTGGACTTAAAAAATGATTCTGTTTTAAAGCAAGGAGACCGTGCAAAGGGATGGCTGCAGTTTTAAAAATGATGTTTACGGGAAAGCACACTGAGTTGTACACAATGTTGCATTATTCCTGGGATAGTGAGAGCAAAAGTAAACACAACTGAGCCAATGGGTTCTGAACAAGGGAGCAATTTCTTCACAATGTTTTTATTGGCTCCTGATCAGATGACCATGGCTTTTGTGTGTCCAGTGCACAAGAGAACTAATCAACCTACAAAGATGGAGCATTAAAAAAACTGTTTTTCACTGTATAGAGGTATCAGAAAGTCTCCAGTAACTATCTTCCACTCACTTTTCTCTGCAATCCCTAGTTGAAGGTGGAACATAATACCTTCAAAGACAGTGAAAGATAAATCCTCAACCAGTGAATGAAAAAGTTATCAATGTGAAACAACCTTGTGCCAACATCAAAAAACTAAAAGGAAAAGAAAGAAAACAACTCATCAAATCCCATGGTCCAGGCTGATGTTATTGAACTGTTTCTCCTTTCTTCCTTTTGCTTCCTTTATCCTTAATATCCTTGTCTGTCTGTTTGTGAAGAGGTGAATTTAAGAATGGGTAGAGTTAAGTTATAGAGTTATAAGTTAGCAATTCAGTTTCCTAATTGCCATTGCTTAAAGACAATTTGTTTACAATAAAGTTGTTTTCTTGTTAAGTACAGAAACCTGGTGAGCATTTTCTTTTAACTGGAGTTTGTTAGTCAGTTAAATTGGACACTTTGGATAGTTTGACTACATTTTTCACATCTGTGACCACTCTGGGATTGGTGGGGCTTGATCTCCAGTGCGCTACCTCTGTGCATCATGATAATATAAAATGTGTAGCACACCATCTACATGACAATGTTTGAAACAAACCAAGGTTCATATTTTTCTCTTTAATCCATAAAATAATTTTCCTAGCCAGTGAAATGGTTACTTGGGTATATCTGTTTATCAATTCCAATTTCTCAGGTTTGCTGCAACTGTAACTTGTACACTACCTGTTCGTATGTCTGTTGGTCTTCTCAATATCTAATATTTCTTTTGCGGGAATGAATATGTGGAAAAAAAGTACAGTCTGGAAGATTAAACCACAGTCAAAAGTATCAATAATCGTTTGTTAAGATGAGAAACTGGAAAGCTAGTATATTTTAATACATAGAGGAATTTGGCTCCTGTACCTTGCATGCAGGGGCAACATGCAATTTGGAAGACTCACGTGTTGCTTGTTCTTGAATGAATTGAATGAATTATGTAGAAACATATTTTTAGGCTATGCCCTCGTGTCCTAGACTCTCCAACAGGCTGAAATAGTTTCTATCAATCTAATATGTTGCTTTTATACCTCGAAAGTGTCAATCAGATCGCCCCTTAATTTTCTAAATTCCAAAGCATGCAAGAAATCTTCTGTGATGAGACAACATCAAAAGTATACTATGTAATTTTATTCTCCTATCCTATGGAAGGATGTACTTGTCACAGGAGGGATGCAATAAAGTTTACTGGATTGAATCATGAGATAAGAGAATTGCCTTTTGAAGAGAGATTGAGTAGAATTGACCTTTATTCTTTGGAGTTTAGAAGAATAAAAGGTGATCACATTGTGATGTATAATTCTTGGAGGGCTTGACCAGGATAGATTTTGAGTGGCATTTTACCTGGGTCGGAGAATCTAAAACTAGGGATAACAGAATAAGGAGTTGCCCATTTAACACTAAGATAAGGAAAAATTTCTTCCCTCATGTGGTTATGAATTTTTGAAATCCTCTCCTTAGAGGTCTTTGAATGCTCAGTCATTTGAGCACTTTCAAGACTGTGTTAAATAGATTCTTGAACATTAAGGGAATTAAGTGACATGGACTACGGTTAAGACAATGGAGTTGATGTAGATGTCAAGCTATAATCTTATTGAATAACAGCAGGATTAAGGGACACTGTGTACTCTTCTGCTCATATTTCTTATGCTGTCAATAATAATGCTGTAAACCAATTACACTCTTAGGTCATACCTTCAACATTTTTCTTATTATATAGGTGCAACTGGAAATGGAGGAGCTAGTGAAGGAACATGGAGTGAATTCATTCCAGGCTTACATGACCTATAAGGATCAATACATGCTGCGAGATAATGAACTCTACCAAGTTTTTCGTACATGTAAAAGTCTTGGTGCCATACCTTGTGTGCATGCTGAAAATGGAGAGCTAGTAGCAGAGGTAAATATTTCCATTTAAAGCTATCTGATGTGTCATCATTGAAAATTGTTTGAAGTTATGCCATAGGTAGCATTTAAACTGCATCTGAGAGATTATTTAAATTTTAATGTGATGTGTGTGTTCAATGCAGCAGAACTTCTAGTAGCATCAGTGCTAATGCAGGTGGACTAATAGAAATTAAATATTTCTGTAACCTAATTTGGTTCTGGAATTGGGCAATGTGCAATACTATAATTTCTTATTTTGTTTTTTTAGGGTGCAAAAGAAGCCCTTGAATTGGGAATCACTGGGCCTGAGGGATTAGACATCAGCAGACCTGAGGAGGTTTGTTCCGTCAAATGGTTAAGGCAATTTAAGTGTCCATAATAAACATGAAATGATATTTACTATAACTTTATATAACATATAACTATGTTAATGATGTAGGGTTACTTTTATTTTCAAGTAAATAGAAGCCCTTTCCATAGGATAGCAAGCTAAACTTGGAAAAAAAAGCATTGAAAGGAAGCGGCGACATACATAAATTTAAATAGTTTATTCCATCCATTAGTTGTGTGTTTCTATCTGTCTGCTTGTTTTATAGCAATTGGAAATTCACCTAGAGTAAAGTAGACTAATCTTTGATTGCTTTGGGAACTGGAGCATAGGAAGAAGTATGAATTGAAGTAGGCTGCACTCATCTGTCAGGAAGATGTGAGAGGAGCAAATGAACTTCTTTGTCATTAAGATTTAGACCATCCAATTAGCTGACTATACTGTTTCCCTTCTTAATGGAAGCTGACCGGGCCAAACGTTTCTGAACATATTCCTTCTGCCCTGTTTGTGAATTTTAATTTTTCTGTAGTTTCTGCCTTGTTTCTCCTCATAATCTCTTCACCCTATTTGCACTAAACTGCTGACCACCTACCTATCCACCCTGGCTCCAATCCCAGCTCTTATTGTTAATGTTGGGTACTGTTCCTCTATCCATCAAGCCTACCATCTGCACTGCTCTCCTAAAAAAGACTTCTACCCTTGTCCACATCTCCAACTTTCTGTACTCTCCAGAAAACATGGAGCATGTTGTCACCTCTCAAATTGTGGCTTTTTTTTAGTCTTATGTTTGAATACCTCCAATGAAATTTGTGCCCTTTCACAGTAATAAATTAGTTCTTGTAAATGTCACAAATAATATTATATGTGCATGCATTAAAAGTATATTATCCCTTAACGTACTTCTCAGTTTGTCTGCAACTGTTGACTTGGTTAAATCCACCATCCTCCTCCCATCCCTCTCCAGAATTGTCAACCTTGATAAGACACGTGCCTGATTCCATGCTGACATATCTGTTGCAGCTAGAGTATTGTCTGCAGTGGCTTCTCCTCCATTCCTGCTTTGTGTCTTGTGGTCCGCTCCAAGGATTCGTCATTGACAGTGTCCTATTTCTTATTTATATGCTACCCCGTTGGTGACATCATCCAAGACGTGACATCAGTTTCCTTCCATATGCTATCCTTATTCAGCTCTACTTCACCACCAGCTCTTTCAACTCCTGCACTGTATCTGACATCTCGTCGCTGGGTCAAAATCCTGGAATTCCCTCCCTAATGGGATTGTGGGTCAACCCACAGCAGGTGGATTGCAGCAGTTCAAGAAGGAGTTCACCACCACCTTCTCAAAGGCAACTAGGGACGGGCAAGAAATGTCAGCCAGCCAGCAAGACCCATATGCCACATATGAATAAAAACAAATCAAAACAAAAATCTAGTATTGGAAGAGAAGAAATTTCCTCCAGCTAAATATTACAAAGTCTGAACCATTATTTCCAGTCACAAAAATCCATTGCATTGCCACTAAGATCACCCTCTCTCTAGCACCTCTGAGGTTAAACCAGAATTTTTGTAATGTTGCTGTCACATTTGGCACCACATTGATCCTCCAACCACGTAGCCATACTACCACTAAACAAAAAACTAAAAGAACTGCCGATGCTAGAAATCATAAATACAAACAAAAATTGCTGGAAAGACTCTGGAGGTCTGAACACATCTGAAGAGAGAAATCGGAGATAACATTTCAAGTCCAATGACCCGAAACATTTACTATGATTTATCTCTACAGATGCTGCCAGACCTGCTGAGCAATTTGTTTTTGTTGCCCATGCCAGCACTACCTATTTCTATGTTCTGAAGGCAGATTTGCACAGTTCCTAGCTCTGCTCAACTGCTGCTTAAGCCACCATCCATTTGTTGCTACCAGAATTGGCTCTTTTAACCTAACTGTTCTCCCCGATTCTATCCTTTCTATACTTTAGATCATTCAAAATGCTCGAATTCATGCCAAGCCCTATTCACTATTCACCCTTCACTTCTGTGCTCCTTGACATTGGCTCTGGGATAAGCAATAGTTGCTTTTTAAAAATATCATTGTTTTCAAATTTGTGTATGAGCCCTATCTCTAATCTCCAGCTTTATAAACCCTTCATGGTATCAGTGTGCCTCGAGGTCTATGAATCTAATCCTTAAACCTCTTCCTTTCCACCTGTCTCTTCCCCTTTAAGTTGCTCCTTTAATTCCTACCTGTTTGACAAGGTTTTTACCCGATTGCCTCAGTGGCTGAACTTTAAAACCAGTTTGATAATGCTCCTGTAAAGTGCCTCAATATTTTACTATGTTAGGGTCACTCTTCCTGAAATTGGGTTGCATCGCATAATCTGGCTTTGTGGTAGTATGCGGTATAATACACGTTTGGTAGCATTTGATTTCAGTGCAAGTTTCAAAGTGGTTTAACAAGTGTTAGTAACTGTTATGCCATGGAAATGGAAATCATGTCCATTTTGAGCTGAGATGTGAATGAGAACCACAGAAGAAACTGAGTAAGCTTCTGTTTGACTTTTGTTTGCCAATGAAAATGGTGCTGGTTCAGTAAGTTCTCAATGTATTTTGTCAATAAAACATTAATCCATCCTTTGCCTCTTAAAATTTTTGAAATTTACATGATTTTAAATGGGCACCTGTTAACTCACATTGTTAATTGATGGAACTGCTGGATGTTTCCCAGCAATCATTTGAAAACTGTACATGAAGATAAGGTGTTCATTAGAATTGTTGCAGAAAAAATTGTTGGAACCTGCAAAAGCTTATTTTAAAATTCAGTCAGAAGTCACACGACACCAGGTTACAGTCCAACAGATTTATTTGAAATTACAAGCTTTCAGAGCGCTGCACCTTCGTCAGGTGGCAGCTGTCCAAAAGCTTGTGATTTCAAATAAATCTGTTGGACTGTAACCTGGTGTCGTGTGGTTTCTGATTTTATCCACCCCAGTCCAACACCAGCACCTCCACATCATTAAAATTCAGTAATCTTATTATGTTTACTGTAAAATTCTGTGCCGTACCTAAACATAATTTGGAAAATTGAAAAGCTGGTCTAATTTAATTTTCACAAAACAAATTTGTGGATGAAAAATGTTTAAGGTATTTCTTGTTTCCTTCATACAGCTTGAAGCAGAAGCAACACATCGTGCCATCACCATTGCCAATAGAGTGAGTTCTTCACTTATTAATTTGTTTTAAATATATACTCTTTAGTGTTTCAGTTGAGCTCCATATCTAACTCTTCCCATTAACATCCAATTTCAGACCCATTGTCCATTATATTTGGTTAATGTCTCAAGCAAATCTGCAGGTGATGTTATTGCTTCTGCAAAAATGCAAGGTAAGCGTGGTTCCTGGAGTATAGAAAAATCAAATCAGTTACATCCGGTGCAATTATTGTCCAACATTACACATAAATTTGTTCTTGATCAGGTTGTTATGCAACAATGTTCTTCTTCTAGTCGTAAAGATGAAATAGTATTCAGGAAATTTATGGTTTTTAAGTACACCTTTATTTGTAGAGTTCCGTCTTGTACGATTGAACTATAAAGCCAAAGGTTGCATTATTACTAACTAGGACATGGAGAAGGTTATACCTCAAGGGACAAGTCCTTTCTTCACCTTAACAAGTTTTTTTTAAAAACAATCTGTGGATCCCTTTTCAACCATATGCAAACAACTTTTTAATTCATTACATCTTCCAAACCGATAAAAGAAGTAATGTTGACTTTATAAGAGATAGTAAGAACTGCCAGTGCTGGAGTCAGAGATAACACAGTGTGGAGCTGGAGGAGGCAGGCCAGGCAGCATCAGAGGAGCAGGAAAGTTGACGTTTCAGGTCGAGACCCTTCTTCAGAAATGGGAGAGGGGGAAGGGAGCTCAAAAATAAATAGAGAGAGGAGGGGTGGGGCTGGGGAAGGTAGGTGGGATTGGGATGGGTGAGTGCAAGTAGACTTTAGAAACCTAGATTGTAATGAATTGCCTAATAAAATCTAAGAATAGAAATATTGTTGCTTTCTAAATAACTATCATACATTTTTTTTCAAAGAGAGAGCCTTGCATTTGAGGCTTAAGGATAACCATCTGAATCTTAATGTCTGATTCTAGCAGGCAAGAAACTTTTTCAAAAAAAAGACAAGCTCTCGATTGACAAATACAGGCAAGCATGTCTGTTTTCGTTCACACATTAGGAACTCAAAGCAACAGTCAGAGGAAATTTTATCAGGAAACAGCAATCATAGCTTTTATCTTAAACTTGTAGTGCTTACTGTTTAGGTTTTACTATTCAAATGGAAAGTTATTACACAAAATGGATCATAATGTGAAACCATGTGGAGCCCTATTTCCATCATGAAACCTGACTTCATACTTCATATATGGCGAAAAGCATTATTTTCTTTGTCTCAGTACATCAAATCATGACTGTTTATTTAGGTATCTGTCAGATGTTATTTAGCACTAAGATAAGGCATTGTAAATATTATGAGTAACTTTAGATTTCATTTTTGTTACTCTACCATCGAGTAGTTTATCTAAATTAATTCCATTACTTCAGACCCAAAGTCAAATTCAAAATTTGTAGTATTTAGATCTCTCCACTTCTCTCTCTCTCTCTTTATTTTTTTCTCTGTCTCTGTCCCTCTTTTTTTTCTCTTTCCATCTGTTTCTTTCACTGCCTTCACTGGTCTACGTACCCTTCATTTTTCTCTTTATTACCACATATTTTTGTCGCACCTGTTATATTCCTTTGCTGTCACTCTATTCTCTTCTAAGCTCCCTTTTTTTTTAAAAGCTCTGTCAACACCCTGGTGTCTCTGGGCTTCAGTGGATGGTAAGTCACCTTTTAACTTTTGCCTATGAGACTGGAACTGCTCCTAGATACTACTTGCCCAAGATCACAGTTCAAAAGCTTTTGTCAGTGGAGAAGGACATGTCGATGTGATTTTAATAACAGCCTTCCTGAAGTAATGAAGAAAAAGAAATTTAAAACCTGCCTTTTCTTAAGGCAAGAATTGGATTTTGAATGATACCTCCTTAAGAAGCTTGTTTTTATAGTTGACTAGTAATTTAATCCTGTAAAGGTGCCAATAATTGAGCCTTCACCAAATTTGAGATTAGGTAGAATCAATATAAGTACGTATTGCTTCTCTGTTACATTTCCCTCCTGATGTATTCTCCACAACTGATTTCTTGCATTCACCACCATAAAGTGGCCTCTTTGTAAATTCTCTTCATCTCCTCTCTTGACAATTCCGATATATGAATTAATGCTGTAGGCCAACAGATGGATTATCTAGTACCAGCCTACCTGAGCCTATCACTCCTACTAGTTCCCTCTTTGACCAAGCTTTTGCTGACCCAATGTAATATCTCTTTCTATGGCCTAGTGTCAAATTTTAAATGATAATGTTCCTGTAAAGTAAATGGGATGTTCTGTTATGTTGAAAGAACAATGTGAGTGCAAGTTCTATTGTGCTCCTTGCCCTTTTGCACTCACTTCTACCACTTTTTCCATCCTAAACACACAGTTCTCCTCATTGCTAAAACTCAAGGCAGCCAGGTAGTGAAAAAAAAATTAGAGGCTAGTCTTTCAAACTTCTGTTGATAGAAAGACACAACAATCCCTCTTTAAGCCTGTCTTTATATAAAAGACAAGGTGAGTCCCCAGTTTATAACTACCTGCTGAGTACCCCATAGCACAAGGAAAGAAACAAAAAGCTGCAAAACAGAGATGGATAAAGGAGAAAATGTCATTGACTTACCATAAATTTCACCAAGGGAAATGCACTGTTCTGTGCTATATTTAAAAATATTGCAGCTGTATGAACTTGTTCACTACAAATATTACTTCCTGTTTCCACACATTGTCATGGTCTTGTATCAACGTTTTCTGATATGAATTCCTATTCAGACATTTATGAAGGAAACTGCCAGTGTAAATTTGTCACACTAATTAATTGTGCCTCCCTGCAAGTGAAGGCTGTGTTTGACAGCTGTTACCATTTCAGCCTGTACTTCATTATTTAAAGAGAATTGTATAAAATGAAGAATCACATAGATTCTATCAGTTTAAAACAAGAAATGATCTGCATCCATGCATCCTGGACCAATTGTCAGATATGCCCAGCTTAGTTTTATCTGAAGATTCCAGTTGGTCTCCTTCCCAAGTGCAGAACTACAAAGGGTCAATTTCAACGTGCACAATAGTTGGATTTTCCAAGGAGTGGAAATCTCACTCAGATTCTTTTTTATAAATGGAGGGAGTTCAATACTTCTAAGAAAGATTCTGATCAGAGTTCCTTCAGAAATATGGAGTTGTAATTCTAACAGTTCTTTCATAGTGTTGGTGGAAGACAAATACCACCCCACAACCCCCACTTTTTGACAGGCATCAGCTGCCATATTGGGAAATGTAAGGCCCATATAGCCATTTGGATAGCTGCTATCAAATGATAAGTGCATAACTTGATTACGATATTGGGGTGCTAGGAGAGTAGATGCCAGATAGTTAAATGAGTAAGCTGCTAGCAGGGTAGGATGCTAAGAGTAGAATACAAGATGGATAAGGTGGTAGGGTGCCAGATGAAGAGGATGCCAAGTGGAAAGGAGACAGGGTGCAAGGCGGCCAGGTAAGTGATTGTAGTGTTTAGAGTAGATCATTGTGGATGGGAGAAATTGGGTCCAGTAATGACTGGGTGGAAGGAAGGGTGGTTACAGGTTTGTGTGTGTCAAGGGAGAAGGGTGAACTTGTCCAATGATGCGGGTAAGGGGGTTTGATGCAGAGTAGGGGAAGGGGAAGGGGAAGCATGTCCAATAACGGGGGAGGGGATGTGTTGGGAAAAAGGAGGGCGTTGGGCTAAGGTCTGGAGCAAGGCAAGAGCAGTGGATGTGGAGCTGGACAAGGTGGTGTCTAGTGTAAGTGGTCCAAGGACTGTGTAGTGGCAGAGGTAATTCTGGAGTCAGTTGAGTAGTTACTCAAGAGATAGAATATATATTTAATAGTTTAACTTTTCCTGAATAATAATTTACTTGATTTCATCAGAGCCCTCTGAATTTTCCCATTTTAAACAAAGACTTTTTGACGGTTCCAGGCATAGTGGAATTGCTGAGCAGATTTTTAATTTCCCAGACAATATCTTCGGAGTCTGCAGTTAAAATTCTGCAGGGAGCTTGTGTACAGTTTCCATCTACATGGGCATAACACCTGTCAGGCCATCAGAAAATCCTAGTCAATATTCTTTACAGTTCTTACTTTAATGAATAAGGTGTGTCCTCCGTTTTCCTTGCATCCAGTATGCTATCTCCATTCAGTTGGGTGTTTTAAAGTGGCAAAAAACTAGGCTGTTGATCTGATTGGTTTCATATTTAGTTCTGACTGAGAAATTAGTCAAAGTAAGCCCTTCCATCCTGGCTTCAATTTGGTTTGAAAAATAATACTGTCACCGACGGAGAGATGCTGAAGTTGGAAACTATTTGGATCCCAGCCTGAGGCATTACTTCCCAGGTTTAGAATGCTGGGGTGTGTCCAGTGACTCACCCCATCTCACCCCATTCTTTGCTATTTAAATACTCGTTGGTATGCTTTTCATCGAATGTGTCAGAGTAACTGAAAATGAATGGAGGTCTGGCTGAATGGTTTGTGTGTGATAAAGCTATTCACATAAATTTTACCAATATATTCTTCACAGAGGATCTTCTAACAACAATATCCTCAAACTGATCATGTGTGGAATTAAAAGCTAATACATGTGTACAAAAGTATACATTAAGCCAAACTTATACTGCATTTCATAGAAATGAAAGTGGGAACCTCTGACAAACATAATGAAGATAACTTGAAGGATGTTATCTGTATACAGGTGACAAAAGTATATTTAACTGTCAAGCTATAACTAGGTGAATAAAGTATACATATGCTGTTTTTTAAAATCTAAAATTTAATCTTTTTAAGGCAAAATTATATATGGGGAAACGACACTAGCACACACAACTCTAAATGGATCAAGCTATTACCATCCAGACTGGTCTCATGCTGCTGCTCATGTTACTGCACCTCCTCTTCGACTGGATGCTAGCACTCCCAACTACCTCATGAGCCTGCTAGCCAAGTGAGTTTTAGTAACAAGCTAAACAGTTCTTTTTGTTTAAGCACTCCACCTGAAGTTTGAAAACTATTTTTGACTAAGCTGTAGTCAGCTATGTTACATATTTGCAGGTGCAACTGACATATGCCTGAGTGATAACAGTAGTACGAATTCATAAATTGGCAAGTGCATTTTTTAAAATACTGCATATTACATAAATATTACAGGGATTAGAATTTAGAGTTTAATGTAGAAGTAATGTGAATACTAACAAAAAGCATTAATGGCCAAAAACTAAGTTGCCTACTACTTTTATTTTTATTTCAATTGCAAACTACCATATGTTACAAATAACCATTATTTCTTCACCATGTTTTTGGCCACCGTTTCTTTAAATTACTCCATCTAGTCAATGTATGTAACAAGAAATGCCTTTATAACATAATATTCATAACTCCTTACATAGTGAGGCAGTTTGTGCCTTTATGCAGCAAAACCTGGGTAGTGTTCAAGCCTGGGCTGATAACTGGCAAGTAGTTTTCATGTCACGCAAGAGCTAACTAGTGACTATTTCCAATAAGAGAGCCTAACCATCTCCTGAACTTTCAATGGTACCGTCATTAAGTCCCCCACCATCAATGTCCCGGGTCACCAGTAATCTGAAACCTGACTTGTTCGGTGTCATAAATACTGTGGCTACATGAGTAGATTTAATGATAGAAGAACTGCAGGTGCTGGAGAATCTGAGATAACAAGGTGTAGAGCTGGATGCTTGGCCTGCTGTGTTCATCCAGCTCTACACCATGTTATCTGAGTAGATTTAATGTCAGGAATTCTACATGAGTGACTCACCTCCTGACTATCCAAAACCATTTGACCAGCTATAAGGCAGAAATCGAACTGTGATGAAGACACTGCAGTTGCTTGGATACGTGTGCTGCCAACAACTCCATTAAAACAAAATCAATAATGTCCAAGACAAAGCAGCCTTCTTAATTAGCACCTTAAAGACTGACTCCATCATTGTGCACACCCCGCAATGTGTACTGTTTACAAAATGCACTGCAGCTTACCGAGGCTTCTTCAGTAGCTCTTACCAATCAACAATCTCTATCACCTGGAAAACAAGGGTAATTGGTGCAGTGGAACAACACCGTGTTCAAATATCTCTTAACTTGAAGGTATGTTGCTACTCTTCATTATCTTTATCATTGGGTCAAAATCTTGGAACTCCCTACCTAAATGCACCATTGAAGAACCTTCATATCCCAGACTGCTTTAATTAGAGAGGGTGTTTCATGCCATCTTCCTGAGGACAGTTATGGATGGGCAATAGTTAGTTGTCTTGCAACTGATGCTGATGATATGAATTTTTTAAATTATAAAAAATAAGCAAAACCATGGATAATGGTGCAGATTGAAAACCACTATTGATTTGAAGAAATGTTTGAACTGCTTCAGATTTACCTTTTTTACCTGGGCACTAGTACATAAGTAGGTAATTGAACTGAGCTAGAGATTTTTCAGGTAGTTGGACAAAATCTGAAAGACAGATGCATCAATGAAAACTATAAATTTTGCTTGGTTTCTATAAACCTATAATCTTCAATGTGTTCATTTTGGCAGTTTAGTTCAAGCATACCCAGCTGAAAATTGGTGTGTGTCATTAGTGCGAAGTTCTGAGGAAGGGTCACTGGACCCGAAACGTTAACTGTTTTTCCCTTCACAGATGCTGCCAGACCTGCTGAGCTTTTCCAGCAACTTTGTTTCTGTTCTTGATTTAAAGCATCAGCATTCTTTCATTTTTTATTAGTGTGAAGTTGTTCATTTTGGTTGGTAAAACATAATGACAAAGTATTATTTACATGGTGATAGATTGTGAAATGTTGATGCACAAAGGGACTCGGGTGTTCTTATACACTGTCACTGAAAGCAATCAAGCAGCAAGAGTTAGGAAGATAAATGGTGTGTTGGCCTCCATTGCAAGAGGATTTGACAACAGAACCAAGAGAGCCTCACAGTGCTATGCAGGGCCTTCATGAGACTACACCTGGAGTATTTTCTGCAGTTTTGTTCTCCTTGAAGATAAAAGTTCACCAGACTGATTCCTGGGATGGCAGGTTTATCCATGAGGAGAGATTGGGTCAACTGGGCTTGTATTCACTGAAGTTTAGAAGAATGAGATGGGATCTTATTGAAACATATAAAATTCTGACAGAGCTGGAGCGACTGGATGTAGGGATATGGTTTCCTGTGGCCCAGTATTCTAGAACAAATGGTCACCGACTCAGGATGCACTGTAGGCTGTTTCAGACTGAGATCAGGAGACGTTTCTTTATTCAAATGGTGCTGAACCTGTGAAAATCTCTACCGCATAAGGCTGTGGAGGCCAAGTCATTGAAGATATTTAAGGAAGAAATAAGTTTCTGGAGGCTAAAGGTGTCAAAGGGTATGGAGAGAGAGTGGGAGTATGTTATTGAGAAGAGAGATCAGCCATGATTGTGTTGAATGGTGAAACTGACACAATAGACCAAATAGTCTTCTCTTGCTCCTATTATTTTTACTGTTTTTTATGTGACTGAGGTGAAAGTGGTAGCATGACAGAAATATCAATACGTCATACTGTTCTTTTATTTTTCCTAGTGATACCATTAACGTTGTTGCTTCGGATCATCGTCCGTTTACTATCAAGCAAAAAGCTATAGGGAAAGAGGATTTTACTAAAATTCCTCATGGTGTTACTGGAGTGCAGGACAGAATGACTGTTATCTGGGAGAAAGGAGTGGTATGTTTAACATTCCTTTGATATCTTTAATGTTGGTTACTGTTACATGTACATTAGGAAGTCTGACAAATTATGGTAGTTATTGCAAACTGTGGAAGATCTTTCAAACATTCAACCTAATTTCAATTATAGTTATTTTCTCAATTTTTCTTGTGAATTTATATACCTCAGAATGAGGTTACCACTGCGGTAGAATGGAATGATTTTTCATTTATACCACTGTATCGTTGTTGTCATACTGGTATTGACTGTTTTCTAAATAGTTGGAATGTATTAGAAAAATATCCCTGATACTTTGTATATTTTCCCTTTTCCACATTCTTCTTGAATTTATGAATAAGTTGCTTTTACATTCTTTGATTTGATTTCATTATTGTCACATGTATCTTGAGGTTGGTTGGCTCGCCGAGCTGGTTTGTTGTTCCGCAGACATT